CTAAGGCCTATGGGAATTCAAACTGGACTTTAGTGGGGGAGTGGGGGGGGGGGCAGTGTCCCCATGACAACATACTTGGCCCCCCTGTGGCCCCCCTGAATACATAAGGTACTTGGGTCTGAAATAAATCTTTATTATTATTATTATTGGTGCCACTTTACAATAAGGCTACCCATATAAAGAGTGTACGAATGGTTTATAATCTGGTTATTAATTTGGTTGTAACACTTTGTAAATTGTTAATAGACAATTTTAAACAAGTTATAAGTTTTCTTTTTTATTAATGAATTACTACCATTTACAAGTGACAAAATTGTAGCCTTATTGTAAAGTGGGACCTTATTATTTACATTTACCTTTATATATGTGGGAACAGGTGAAACACAAACGTAAGCACATTTTCTTAACATGGGGGCGCCGGGCGGTCAAGCCGCTTCACTTGGTGAAAAGCAAAGTTAATGACAGAAAAAGATAAAATGCTTGTGGAAGCAAGACAGTGAGAACAAGAAATCAGTGTAAGTTACATGTTTGTAAAAACTGTCAAATGTAACTGCAAAGCATCGCCTAAATAACTTAACGGTTTTCAAAATTGTCCTTTGCTCCTTAATGCTGACAATCTAGTGTACCGTAAGTAATACTTGGAGGAACTTATGGTCAAATACATCTGCCCCCCCTAACAGTACAACTGGCCCCAGGCTGCCCCCCCCCCCAGTTGAAATGGTCTAGAACCTCCACTCTAACTATTTTCAAGATGATATATGATGCAAATTTATTTGATGCTGTTTGAGAAAAAAAATGTACAAGGTGCAGCGCATTAGATGTGCTGTGATACTCTCCTTGCCCCTTGTCCTTAAGTTACCTTACGCATTAAAAATCATCCACCCACACGTCATCGATCCATCTTCCAAGCGGGTCAGGCAGGGCTGCTTGGAGCGTATCCCAGACAGAATCGAGCACAAGGCAGGGGGGGTACCTTGCATGGGATACCAGTCTATTACAGGACACACACTCACAAAGACACCCTAGAGGCGATTTAGGGACACCAACCCAATATTGAAAATCATTCAAAGGCTAAAAAAATACAGAATTATTCACATGTTAAGTTCATTTATAGTATGTAATTGTAAATTTCACATTATATTTCTTTGCCATACTAATGGTGGGTCATTAATTAAAAATAAAAAAGGCCAATCCAGTTCAGACCCCATTTTTGTTTATTACAATATATTTCCTTTCTGCTCTATGTTATAAAGATATAATGTATATTTATGCTTCTACATTTGTGTCGATGAGTGTTTGAAATGACATCATTCCTCATCGCAGGCTTCTCCTAAACCTGGGTCTTTGCTCTAGCTGCTTCTGCGACATTCAATAGCTGATGGGCAGTAATCTGTCTTCAAAGAACCAGAGTCATGATTCTCAATGTGGAGGTGAAGGGGCTCCTTTCAGAATGGGCGCCGTTGATGCTGCCACATCATGCGCATACCAAGGACAACAGGCAGGCAGCTCACGGTCCGCTCCACCGCTTGGGGGAGGTGGGACACATTGCTTGTCTTAGCAACCCCCCACCCCCACCCCGTGCAGACAATGGCCCAAACATTATGAGAGTGAAGTGTTCTGGAAATAAAAACATATCCCCTCGTGCTTTCTCCCTGGAACGTGCTGAGTGGGTGTGTCCTAATCACCCATCCCCATCCCGCAGACCGACTCTCCTCAGAAAGTATGCCTTTACACAGAGCAGGCTCCGGAAAATTCCGCATAAGCCGCTGCTAGATCTCCACACGTCCACAGCCCCGTTGCTGTTCCTGTTGGCATGGTAGCTTCCCACCTTTTCTTCCTCTGTGTGTGTTTCCTTCCTCATTGGTTATGTGAACTGATTTCACAAAACCTTCCATAGTGTAAACCCTATAATGCATTGGCATCCCTCACATGGCCCTCCTGCCGTTTACCACATGCTTCCTGTGATAACGCTGTTACCCTGCACTGATTAAGTAGTTTTGGAAGATGGAGAGATGGAGCTTGTTGCCCTCATTCCCTGTGTTTGGCACAAAATGCCAGTTGGGTTGGTCTCACTTTGCTTTTGGAATCGAACAAGGACAGTCAGTGCAAAAGACAGGATTGTCGTTCAGTAATTGAAAGCGATGATAGAAATTGATTAAAAGGCAGGAAATGCAAACTGACCACTTCATCGTGCCGGAGAAAGAGACCGGAAGGTCATTTTGTCTAGGTTTTAGGCTACATTATTAATATTTTTTAAGCTGACCTCATCTCCAAAAAACGTGAAGGTACTCAATGAAGCAAGTGGTATAGTAATGCAACTGCTTCCCCAATCTCTGTGGAACCAGATATACACTATCTCATGTGCAAAGGAAATGAGGAAACCTACAGTCATGTAATTCTGTACAAAACGTTAATGTTGGCAGTTAGTTCCAATGAATCCTCTTATGATTAACAGCAGTCGGATTCTCTGGCCAAGAGATGCGAAAGCAGATCAAAGAAGCATGGTGAAATGAATCCAGTCAGAGCATAGCTAACATTGTCTATATTGAAACATACAGAAAAAAAAGGATCCATATTGAACAATAACACAATTCTTATTTGACAAACACACACACATTCTTTTTCCTTCGGTTGCTACTTCACGAATATTCCTTCAAAAACTGAAACCCAGAAGCGTTTTGCCAAGATTTCACCTGACACTAAAAAAATGTTCTCTCTTGGCCATCGTGATGCCAGCCGTGCATTATGGGTGTAAAACAGGTCATGCCCCAAACTCTGCAGCTCTGTACTACCAAATCAGTGCCAGAATCTGAGTCAGTAGGTTTCCTATTTCCTCCCCAGAGACTATGTATAATACATCAGTTAAGGGATAGAGCCCAATTTAAACAGGACTGAAAACATCCGAGAATTATCAAAGCTACTATTTCCCGTCACAGACATTTTTTTCCATGCGCCTTACATCATGGATAAAACAGGATGTGGGATCACCGCACACAGACACAGAACCCCATGAAACTGTGAGCTTAAAACAAAACGTTTATAATTGGAATTACAGAAATTCAAGTCATTCACAGGAAATGACTCTTTATGACTGAGTACTCAGTCACGGGCCCACTTGGCAAATTTGTTTAACGGATTATGAGCGCCCTCTTGTGGGGTTGCGGGGGGGGGGGGGGGTTATAAAGTGCAGGGACCGCAGTCATTCAAAAATAAAATCTGGTGAAGTGGCACAAATAGTTCTACCTTTTACAAATAAAGTGTACATGTACTCGTAATCTGGAGGTTCAAGCAGGGATGAGCTGGCCATCTGGCATATTATACTCTGTTAGTCGATATGTATCCTGCCGTAATAATTTACCGCGGGGACCACCCCCGTCAGCAAAATTTATCGCTCGGCAAAAGTCAGCGTGGGGGACACCCACCCTCCTCGGCAAAATTTATTAAGATTTTTAATCCCAGTCCAGCCCTGGGTGGTTCAAGTCTCAGGAAAGATCATTACAGTAATATCGCTAAGTAGTGTAATTAATCTTATGTGCTGCATTTAAATGGTCAGAGGAATAAATGGTTACACTCCGCAAGCTGCTCCCATGAAAGCAATTAAATAATAAATATATCCCTGTCTGTGAAGTGCACGTCTACATAGCATGATTCTGCCAAATACAGTAATACCTCGGTTCTCGAACTCACTAGAACTCGAACAAACCAGTTTGACCTAGAACTCGATCTGAATATCAGAAGTCGAACCGTGAACGCTGACCTAAAATAAATTGTACGCGCCAGGAAATGAGTCATACTACAATGCAATTCTTACTTGAATGCCTTCTTCACAGACTGGACGATTAACCAAATAAAGCAGCGCAACATTACAGTAACTAAGAATAAATAAACCACTAACTTACGTGTACTATTAGAGCATTTATGTCATTTATTTCAACTTTATTTTACCAGGTAAATTAACTGAAAACCAGTTCTCACTGCTTTACATGATATTCAGAAGAAATAGCAGATTACGCATCGGAACTGCCTGGAATACAAACGTCATGCGTGTAACTAAACTCTTCAGCCAGTAAGGGCAAAGTTGTGTCGTCACGGAGGCGGTTCCAGTTTGTGCAGCCGGGTGAGAGGTCGCAGTGCATCTAACCGTAATGCATTGCGTCAGGATCAGAGTGCGTTGCTTTAAGCCAGCGTTGTAAGCAAGTCGAACGCACCCAATGACCGGACTGGGGAAACAAACTGAAATGCGGACTTAATACAGAGGACTAATGACAACAACCAGAAACAGTTGATCACATGGGGATCCCACACGAGGTTAACGAGGGGGCGTGGCACACGGATGGAGCGGACGATAGGACAGGGGTAATGTTGGGATAAGTTCTTTATCGTTTTGGAAGCCATTAAGAAACAAATGCTCTTCTTGTTTTATCCAGTTCATTTTGTGTTTAAATGCTAAAAAAAAAAAAAACAAACAAAAAAAAAAACATATTTTGGGGGGCTGGGAACCAATTAATTGGTTTTCCATTATTTCTTATGGAAAAAATTCGATCAGAACTCGAACTTTTTAGGATTCGACCCGGAGTCCGGAACGGATTAAGTTCGAGAACCGAGGTACCACTGTACATTTATTATTATAAGGTGCCAGTATGGGTCGACGTACGGAATTTCTCCAGTATGTCCTGTCTTTAGCTTTCCCAGTGGCATATTCAGGCTAAAGCCATGTAGCCCACGTTACTCTGAGCTTGAATCGACCACATTCTGTTACTTATAAATGATGCGTTCATATATTATATATAGTTGAGGGAGGCGTAAAAAGAATTTCCCCACGGGGATTAATAAAGTGTACATTATTATTATTATATATTTAATAATTACAGCATATTTTAAACTTTTTAAAAGCTATTTGGACTGCGTTGTAATTTCATGGCAAAAATGTACACTTTTTCAATGTACACGCGAATGTCATTAAAACCACGTCCATCTTTAACACTGTAAAGAGCACATCGTGACGGCGTTCAACATTTATTCACTTTTGTTTTTATAAACATGACAATTAAATATAAATACATCCGTTCAACATCCGGGTCATCCACGGTAAGAAACAGCAAACGCACACAAGCATACAAAACCTCGGACCCTGAATTTGGTCATTAAGGTGCAGTGATAATCAAAACGGCGCAGTAACGCTCGGCCTTTGCGACGACCCCCCCTCGCCGGCTGACTTCCACTCTTGCCGCTCAGTTGTAATTAACCGGTTGACATTTTAATTGTATTAAAGTCCCTTAGCACCACTGAGCACTCGGAAGCGGGCGTCACCAGCGCGTTACTGATCGCCGGCCAGCGTGCCCTGCTTCAGCCATCCCGGAGAGGGACAAAGACAGAACATACAAAAAGAAAAAGAAAAGACACCAACACGGTATCACCCGAAGCGGCGTGCATGAGAAATAATTCGACTGCATGTACACCTGCACACAAACGGAATACGAATCGGGAGCTCCCGTTGTCTCAGGACCCCGACTTCGGGACAAAGGAGCCGATTGAGCAGTGTTTGACTGTGGCACCACTATCTAGCATCCTGGCACAGACACATGGTATTAATGACTGAGGTGACCCAGTAAAATACAGCGTCATCAATTAAATCGAGAGAACGAAATGGCACCATTAAAAAAATTAAAAATTGTGAGAAAAAACGTTCCATAAAGTCTTCGACATATTTAGTGGCCAGATGTTTCAGTATGAGTGTTTTATAGACTGGCTTATGAATAAACATTTTAAACAGCCCACCCCACCCCGCAGACCAAAATTTCAGTGCTGTTTACTGGCCCAGTATCCACACTTATGCCATTCGGTCAGTAGGGGGCAGCACAGGGACCTGCTGGGCTACTTTAGTCTTGGGGTCTTCCAGGATTATGAAAGATGGTGTAAGGTTCTTAATTTATTTTTCTCTCTGCAACTTCATCTCTTCGAAGCAGAGCTTATGGAGACTAAGTAACCATTCGATAACAGAACTGTGATGATTTCTTAGTCTTCCAATTAAGATGCCTTTCCCAACTCTATCTTCTTCTGGATGGCCCGTGCAGAGTGGTATATCAAAGAGTCAATGAGCCCAGCAACTAGAGCAGGACATAGAAAGAGAATGTGGATGTAAATAAAAACATTTAAAAGAACTGGTGAAACAAATCTTGCAATATATTAAATCAAAACAATACAAATGAATATTCCAAAGCTGAGACAGTCATTGTGTAGAGGGCCTTCTTATCTTCAAGGCTCCACATTAATTTTGCATATGTTCTCTATTACGCCTCATCTTTAACAGCCCTTTACAGATATCTATCATTTTAACTCCGTGATGGTGCCATGTGACAGTATGGCAGTAATTTTCACAAAAACTGAAACTAAGGTGGATTATTGGAAAAGATGTTAACTCAATTTATTTGGCAGTTAAATACATGCACTTGTCACAAGTTCATAAAAAAGAAGCAATATAAGAATCGGCTATCCTTCATATATTTTTAATCTTCAGTGTGCTCCCTTTATCTTAAATATGTAATGCATAAATGTATTTAAATGTATCATATTGTAAAACACAGGCACTTTCACTTCTTAATGCTGGTAATGCATCAGCAGAACAAGAAGAACGCATATATAGAAACACATGGATATTTAATATTCATTATTGTATCTCTGGATCTCTCAATACTGCTGAATTTCACTATATTGAGGCAATGATAAGTCCTGCCATAATGGAACTAAGGAAAGCATGATATCAAAGATTAAGAATCTAATTAGCTAAATAAAATCAACAAAGACAGAAGTGCTGACATACACACCTGTGAAAACTCCTCCAACGATTGCACAGACACCAGTCAGAAAGTGGGTAAATGAACTGGGAAAGAAGAGAAAAGAAACGCATAAACAATATCCTGAACCATGTGAATTTGGACACAAAATGTTCATCTCCAGTATCCTACAGTGGCTGTTGTGTTAAGTTAAATGGATGAATAAATGAGTAATTTGTCACATACCGCTGCTTCTCTGTGAATTTGACCATCATTGGGGAGAGTTCGTATAGCACAAACACCCCCGGGAGACCCTGGTCACCAATCAGCCCATTGGCCACCTTCTCATGCCGGGTCACTGAGAACTGGTTGGTCTTTACCACCTGCCAAATACAAATAACAACTCATCATGGCATTATGAACGTATATATTGTTATATTTAATTATTTTCTATCCAAATGAAAAAAAGGTGTATACAATGAAAGACATGGACGTTAAAGTAATAATTCATGTTATAAAATGAAAGGAAATGTAATAATATCAGATCATTTCAATTGTAACTTTTGAAAAAGGGACTATATACTATTGAGCACTATGACAACAATTTGCTGTCCTAATGCCACTGGATTGCTGTTCACGTTATATTTGCATTTGTAAAACTTCATGGACTAACCTCTCCATCACCTTTAACGTAGACAGTGGGCACTATCTTCACAAAATACTGGTACATCATGGATGCTGAAAAAAGACAATGTACATTTGGGGGTGAACCTTAATACTGCAGTATAAATAATACAGTAACTCCCAAAAGTCAATTGTGCAGTTTTAACCACTAGGGGCGCTACGCTATTCAAGGACTGCCTTTTATCGCCCCTTGACCTCGATCACGTGATGCTGTTTTTTTTAATGACATCACTTCCCTCTGCGTGATGGAGTCTTAGCTTGTCTTACCCCCCCACAGTGGTGGACGTGAGTCGCTAGATAATTTGGGAAATATACAGCTACCGAGAACGAAGCGCTACGACTCTAAACCATTGAATAGTAAAGGTAAGACTATATACACGGAGAGTGTAATGGAAAGCACAACGCTCTTTGTGTTTAAACATGGCTATGTCCATGTTTTCAAGGCCAGACCGAGGTGAAACGGGCACACATACGCTGTAACATGTTTAATTACAGAGGACTATCTCGCATTTTTGTAACTGGTATCGCCAAATATTTGGATTCGTTTACTTCAAATGTAGCTCGGAAGACGAAAAAAGGACAACTACAGGGTTTAAAAATGTACGTGCAACATGTAGTCCTTAAAAGTAGTATGTTTAGCAATGCCGTTAAACGAGACAGGACTTCTGCTGGTACTTTAAGGCACCTATTGCTTCGGTCATCCCGAAGCAGCGCTGATTTTGCGTATGCTGACACTCGCACAGATGCCAGTAGCCGTAGGACCATACGGACAGACCCAGCCGAACTGCTTTGACAGAATCAAGATGGGATTCATGATGGGCTTCGCCGTAGGCATGGCCGCAGGCGCTATGTTCGGTACTTTCTCCTGTCTGCGGTAAGTCATCGTACAGTCTCTCCCCTTCCCAAACTATGCCCATCCATACTTGCTTAAATTGCAGGATTGTTTCCTATGAGTTGTGAAACTAACACGTGCCTTTTGCGTAGCCCCGATCCGAAGTTCACTGATGTGCAATCCCGAACACTACACACTGATAAATTAAATCAATCAGCCACCAAATAAAGCTTATGCTTTGCGTTATTATACTTTGCAATAATCTTGTATCTCAATTGTGGCACCTTTGCTTGATTTAATTTAAGGAGCGATTTTATGGGGACACCAGTGCGTGCACATTTTAGTAAAACCCTGTTAATGCTAGCAAAGAAATGCAGATTGTTTTATCATCTAACCCCTTTTGCCTTTTATGTGCTATGGTGACATCTCAACACGTGGCTTATTTCCCTCCAGTGTCGGGATGAGAGGGAGAGAACTCATGGGAGGAGTGGGAAAGACCATGATGCAGAGCGGAGGCACGTTTGGCACCTTCATGGCCATTGGAATGGGCATTCGCTGCTGAAATGAGTGTTTTTTCCCCACTCTCAACATAAGACTCTCCTGATTTGTGAAATTCTGAATTTGATTCACCATCTGCCACACTGTAAGCCGTATGGGAGAAATCACTTCAAATAAAGGCTGAGATTTAAATGATCACGGAAAATTACTCAAAAGCAAGACTTTCAGCCCCAAGTGACTAATTTCAGGTAAAGAACTGTAATGTCATTTGTCTTAGGTGGTATAAAAACCTTCATTTGAATATGACCAGACCACCTTCTTTGGTCTATCAATGTTCCCCACATTTAATCAGATTTCATTTAATTACATGGAAGAAAAGAGGCTTTGAAACTCAGAATGGGCTGGATTACTGTACATTTTCAATTACTGCCAGGTTTAAACCAATGAGAATTTAGGCTGGTTGAATGTCCATGATGACACCCATGGTAAGTTTCGAAGCCTCATTTCTCCCTTTGCTAACGTTTCACTCTTGGTAACTGTGCAAACCTTGTGGAGCTGCAACATGCGTTCCATCCAGGGGGTTGACGATGCCAGGGTAGTCTTTCCCAAAAGAGAGGTGTTTGATAAAGTGCGTCATGTTGATCTGGGAGAAAGATAACGGATGTCAGGGGAAGGCAAGCTGTTTTATCCATCCCAACTTCAAAATGTCCATTAGGAGCTACAAGTTGGCTCTCTGCATACTTACATTATCCAGTCCAAAACTTTGTAGGTCATGAACTGGAAGAAAAAGAGTTGACGTGTTTCAGTTTTACCCTTAGATATACAGATATTTCAGTGGTCTGGATGTTCTTTCTGCATGAAATTCAGTTGCTGCATTATGCTGATGTAGATCTGCGTGCAACCAGCATATTGAGCACAGAAGTTGCTACATTAAATATGCAAGATTAAAACAGAACCTGGTGAGTTGTGTGCTTGAGTACCATCAAAAGCTAATTAGCATGAGAACTGATTATTTGCAATTTATCGCAGTTAAGTAACAGGGTAAATGCAGACTCAAGAGTTTACTGTGTGTTTGCAGGGGAATTTACAGATTTGATTTAAAAAAAGATTAACTTACTTTCCACAGCGTGCACTGCAGAAAGAAAGGGGGAGGGGGAGAGAAGTCACTATACAATGAACGTCAGAAGTACATAGAGAAGCCTGCACCGTGGAGAAGAGCGGGTGGCCCAGGCCTTTACATGAGCTCCACACTGAAGGACCGGCCTGTGGAACTCAGTAAAGCCAGTACTGACTGTGCATTGAAAGGACAGTGTGGTTGGGTGTCAGTTTTGGGATGCAGGCTATAATGGGGTTTTTTTTTTCCTGCTGTTCTTGATTAGACTGGTACTATACAAGCAAATAGCCAGTCTAAGCAAGACAGCTTAGACACTGGTTAGATCGGTCTACCCGGATAGTCAACTGCAGATAACTGGCATGAATGTGCCTCCAAACAAATCAGAATCAAACTGCGTGTGTATGTGTGTATCATACAGGTTGTCCTTTTGTATAGCGTATACCTTGTTACTTAAACTTGACAGAGAGAGAGACGGCAGAAAAAGTTTGAAGCAGCATGCCGGTATTTCAGTGATGAGAAATTCATGTTGGGTTTTATTATTGGAAAAAAATGTATAGAGAAGAGGAGCTGATGTAGCATCACAGAGCGAAGCAGCCAGTCTAGGAATATGGGAGACTTACTGCCTTTGGTGTGCTGCTATTCAGCAGCAATACAATGTGCTCTTGGGTGTAAGCAAACAGACTGTAGCCTGTACCCACACTTGGTTTGATTCCATGAGGGTATTGTGTGTAACAATGAAAATGCTCCCTCAGGGCACCCTCATCGTTTGGTGTCGGTTAGCGGTGGGAAAGTAGCCGTATCCAGCCCCACAACACTTCGGTTAGTTCAAACTTGTTTGGTGGTTTTTAATTACCCGTGACTCCTAAGGTCCCGAGGAGAAACAATGACCTGCTTCCACAGGTGATCGTTTAAAAAAAATCTCTGCATGTATTATGAGCCGTTCGTAATAACATAACTAGGATGCAAGTTTAGGATTTACATCGACCCAAAGATGCAGGCCAGGAGAGCCCTTCCATCTCCCCCTGTTCCCAGTGGTGCTTTGTGGCTCTCAATGACCAGCCTTACCGTGAACGTGAGACTGCTGGAAACTCTTCCCAGGGGCAAAGTGAAAATTTCCTGCCACCTAGTGGGGCAAAAAAAAAAAAAAACAATGATACGGAAGGAAGGAGGGACAGTGAACGTGCCTATCGTAGCATGTGGACGAGGAATACCTTGTTGACTTCCAGGAAGCCGAACACCTGGCAGCCCTCGTTCTTCTGCTCCTGCATCTTCTGGCTGAAGCCTTCTCGCTTGCACTGCTCGATGGTGTCTGGGTTCTTGAACGCCCACCCTCTCCGCCGGTATGCCTCTCGCACGTCATCACAAGTGTTGCAGCATCTACCACAAATGTAGACATTGATGTCTATTTAGCAGATGCTCCAGTCCAAAGCAACATACAACTGAGGATCAGAAAGTAGGGTCAGCCAGCATCCCTGGTTAAAGACCATGCTCAACAGTGATATTAATCTGCTGTTGGATTCAGACTCACATCTTCCAGACAGAGACATCAATCACTAACTCGCTGAGCTACACACAGATGGAGCTGTGGGACATGCAACATCCAGATACGCAATACCAGTCACATTGTCTCAGTATTCAATGTTGTGTTAAACCCTTATTAAATATTCAAGTTATCCTAGTGGTCATAAAAGGGCTAGACTAATGATAGACCAGTTAAATGGAGTCCATATATGTAGATTACAATGGCTTCTCATAACTACAGGTCACTCAGCCCCCTCTCAGTGATCTGACTGCCTGGAAACTCACTTATGGTCTTCAGTTTCAGCGCCATAACAGCTCTCACACCGATCAGGGTCTAGCTTGCTGGGGTCAAACAGCTCTCCTTCCTCTATCCCCAGATCTGCAATCAAATATGTGGAAACAGAATGTGGAGGATGAATGTCAGATGAGCCCCAAAAACTACAAACGAAGATATGTGTAGCATTCTAGTCCACTGTGAAATTTTATGTCTACAGAATGCTAGGAGCAAAAAAAGGAAATATGTGTAGCATTCTGTTCCATTGTGGAATTATATGTCTACACAGCGCTAGATGCCCATCTTCCTTAGGTAAATTCCACAAATAAAACACAAGCATTTAAGACATTGTTGCATGATACTAAATAAGGAAACAGATTTTTTAAAAAGTGGATTCCCAAAGGAAATGGTGAAAGTCCAACGGTCTGGTGCAGACATCAGAGCATCCCCTCACCATGTCTTTCTGCCTCGGAATTGACAGATTTTCCATCTTTGTCCAGCCTCTGTTTAAAGAGGTTGTGCTCAACATCCAGCTGCTGTTCACCAGCAACATCCATAGCATCAATGCTTAGATCTGAGGGACACAAGGTTACGCAGATTTAATGCAATTCTCAAACACCTGAGGTTAATGTGAGCATAATCCTACATCTGAATTACAGTTAAGTATTGCACCAGATGTGAAATCCTGGCAGTGATAGATTAACCTCAGAAAAATGATGCGTGTAATTTCTGACAAGAAAAATATTTTAAACTGTCGTATTCCAGTAATATAATTAAGAAGATTGGGCAAATCATTGTGCCAGCATTTCAGACTGATAACTATACAGGAAAAAAATACTTCCTATTGTTATTGATAAAAATGTTGAGAAATGAAATTTCCTACTTACATGCACATGGCATATGAGGGAATATAACATCAATGTTGATTTTCAACTTATCTCCACGTGATGTGTCAACAAACAATTCTGGATGAACCTATAAAAAATAATCGCTCATTACAAGGAATGAATACGCTCTTTCGATTTTATTTTGCCCGTCATATCAAAATGAGTTTCAGTCACGCACAAATTATGGATATATACCGACTATGATTTTGATTAAAAAACACGACTACGAGAAAGTTGTATAAATAACGAAACGCACTAAACATTAAAATCTTGATAAATACTTAACACACATTTACTGCTTGTGAACATAATGACCTACCTCCTTAGTGAGATAATACTGCAACTCTGAGAAGAACAGGATCAACATAATTAACCCACTAATTATGGTCACTGGAAGAAAAAAAAAGAAAATGAATTACATTTAGTGTACCCTGAGCAATTGTGCAAATCCACTGATACAACAGGCTCAGTAACATCAGAAGCCGGTAAATACCGAAATAACGATGATCAACAGTATGCCGCGCACATTTACCCTGCCTATCCCCCGTTAGCCTGAATAGTTAACTAGGCACTCTCCGTGATACATTTTCCTTAACGGACGCTCTCACCCGTAGCTCCTCCGCATGTTTTTATTCTGAAATCTTCCAGAGTTTTAGGGTATGCATCAAACTGCTTCAGTTTATTCAAAGCCTCCATTTTCGCCCTCTCACACAGGTTGGGGGCAACACGGAAACCTACGGCACTTCCGGTACACAAAGGGCGTGCGGCCGACCAGTGAGAAACCAGCACGTAGTTGAGCCTCCGAATTCAAGTTCGGAAAAAATCGGAAAGATGCCACAAAGCCGAGCGGGTCTGACTCAAGTGGGATACCTTCATGAAATGATGACAGCAAATCTATTTTTGATTGTGTTATAATGAATACCTTATTATACTTAGATATACAATTTGCAGTCGGTAAATTTTCTATAAACCTTTATGGTATTATTTATGGTGCTATTTTAAAATTATAAATATTAACTAATTATTATACAGTATTTTAACACATATTTACTTCCTTTACCCGCAATAACGAGACGCTTGAATTTAAATTAATTAATTCTGACCCCCTAATATTAAACTCTTTCCTACATGGTTTTATATAGTTATAATTTTTCTTCCCATTATGATTACATTTCTGTATTTTCATGTATTATTTTCCTTGATGTATTCGTTTAATATTAATAAAACTTTAAAATCGCATAGCCCAATTACGTGTATCCTGTGTAATTTTGGTTGTGCTTCCACATATAGCTTATGTTATTAATTTTTTCCCAAATATTGTGCCCAAACATAATAATCTAAGTTCACCAATTTGCTATTCAGTTGATGATGTTGGTTATATTCTTTTGCAATATAGACAAACGGCATACTCGTTCGTATGGTCGAGTGTAAAGTGTCCATCTCTTCCCTCCTGCAATTTCCACATTATATTAATGTTTAATGCAGTGGTTCTCAAACTTTTTCAGCAGGAGGCCCCCTTGTGTAGGATGAATCCTTTTGTGTCCCTCCTCCTCAAAAAAAAGATCATGACGCAAAACATCTTCAAACTTACAATTTTACTTAATTTTAGATTTTAGATTCTGTTTGTAGTCTTTATTTCTCTGGTTTGTTAAATTTACATTTCACAAAATATAACATTTTATTAAAACAGTTTTGACAGTAAAACTAACATTGTCTGAAAAGTGCAACAAAAGTACTGAATACTGAACAGTAATGTATGATGTCCATAGCAGCGTAGTGTGCTACGTAAAATTTATATATATATTTTTAAATACATTATATTTTACATAGGTTGACAAGCCTGATTTACATACAGGTAATTTTTTTTTTAGATTCTACAATTTCGATGCGGCCCCCCTAGCGCCATCTGGTGGCCCCCAGTTTGAGAACCACTGGTTTAATGGACTCAGGATAGAGTACCGAACGTCGACTAAAGCGTATTAAAATATTAAATCAGCGCGGAGTGGCAGGGAAGAAGTTTATTTATTTAACACGTTGTTCGTTTTCCCGCGATCATTTCCGATTTGCAGTGACCCTGAGCTACCCATCTGTATTTTTTAATATAATTATAATTAATATATGAAAACGTTTCGTAAATTTTTCTTTCATTCTACAGTCCTGTCAAGCCTATTGTGCCAGTTTACTGGAGAATTGGCCTTTATTTCCAATTCCAGAAGATTTGTGTCTCAGACTGGTTGATGTCAGGACATCTTTTCAGCCGATTTTTTTTTTTTTTAAGTTGAACTGGTGGAGGACTCGTGCCTTGCAGCCGTGATGGAGAAAGACGCTAAAACCATAAAAGTTATTTTTTAGGGCGAAACTTAAACATGGATGCGTGAGAAAACAGAGGGTATTTTAAATGCGCGAGAGATAGCAGGTCAGATTTTACTCCAGGTTTAAAGCATCCATCCATGACGGTTTCTCCCGTAACAATCACCACAGTAACAAAACTGTGTTAGTACTGCACACAGTCAGATCCTATGGGTCATGTAGAAATCCCAGTTAGCGGATTGCATGCGGTATAAGACTATGGCGCTGTAAGCCCCGTGGTCCCCTTTAACATCAATAGGTGTCAACAAATGGTAGTAGTAATAATAATCAATGTCATTACATCTTGGACACCTTATGTTTAAATGTAGAATGTTCACAGATAAATGTTAACAGTAATGTACTTTCAAATATCAGCTACCTAAGATAGACCAAACTGTATTCTGACAGCCTGTATTCCCACCTGTTAGATACGTTTCCCCGGTCCAGTATCTGGCTGGGATTGAAAACTAATACTACAAGTGCATGAGATATCAGGTCAGTAGGCATGCCTAATGTTTATTAAAGCTCTACAAGTTTGATTACACTAAGTTACTAATATGGCATTTTTAAGAACCAGCGCAAGGTCAGCGAAATTCAGTAGTTTTTTTTATTAGGTATACCTCTGTATAACAGGTATTCATGTGTTTTGGACAATTCACAAAGCTCAAAACATAACTCGTTCCCCAAATGAACTGAGACCACCTGTGACCAATGTTTCCCGTTTCTCTTTTTATAATTTATTCTTTTTTTTTAATAAAACATTGAGCACGAGGTCTTGTCTTTAAGCTCCTTCGGAAGAGGAAAACTGCAAAATGACGCATTATTCAAGTGATGTAGATGAGAGCGAATCACTGTGCGAGTCGCTCTTCCCCAGCACTGATTGTGAATCGGAAACTGGATCCAGTCAGGGGAATGAGGTGGCGATGCAGCCGGGGGGGGGCGGGGTGTTTCACTTAGGCGGTCTGTAGGCGATCTTGCGGCTCTTCAGGACGGTCCACCTGTGTCTTTTCAGGTAATAAACTAGGGGCACCAGGATTGCGGAGCCCATGAGCATCTGGGGGGGGGGGGGGGGGGGGGGGGGGGGGGGTGGGGGGTTGGTAGAGGCAGAATGTTGACATTTACACTGGGAAATAGTACATTATGGACATACAGCTGTCATGGACTCGACACGAGTGCAGCTAGGCTGAGCTTCCAGTGAAAGCCCAGTGGAAGCAGGGGTTCGGGCAAGAGCTACACAACATCCTCCAAATAAAGCATGAACCTAATTAGAAAACTATTCAAATCAACACAGCATACAGGCAAGCACGAAACATTTCTAATCATTTAACATATCCTAAACACATTATATAAAGTTAGAAAACAGTTCTCTGTAACCCACCAGCATTACTGAGCTGACTGGCATACAGATTTACTTAAAACACTGACATTTAGTAGCTCAGGTGTAACAGTGTTTACCCATTGATATAACTGGATTTTTTTGATGGTGGGGGGGTCCAGTTAAAGGATCTGGCTCAAGGGTACAACATTAGTGTCTTTCGTGATCAGGCAACCTATGGGTGTTGAGTCCATAGCTACCGGCCCGCCCAGGAGATCAGCTGTAAAGGCCCCGGCGATGTGCCGACAGTCTCACCTTTAGACCCATACGCTTGCGTTGATCGTGCTCTGGCTCTGCTGCCCACCGCAGGAAGGTACACACATCTTTCGCCACTTGGCTCATGGTGGCGGGGGTCCCTGTAGAGGGGCAGCAAGAACCACCTCAGCTCACCTGCTCAGCATGGTTTGAATTACTGGGGGTACAGTACCCCCCGATCAAGACCCAGACCCCCCCCCAAATAGATAAAAATAGCAGTTTGGGGGGGGGTCTTAACATGTTTATTTTGTTGTAAAAAAAAATAGATAACCTCACCTTGTAGGAAAATATTATGCAAAACGATTTCAGACACCCCTAATGTGGACCGTACCATTTTAACCACCTTGGCGCTAGAAGCAGCCAGTCGGTTGCGTCATTCATTCTCATTGAGTGACATGTTCGTTGTGTTCGTCTGTCATGGTGCTGTTTGTCGTGCATTGGTCAATGTAAGTAGCCAGCAGAAGTCTAGCCTGTTGAAAATGTGTTATTTTACAACCTTCATTTATTCGTTTAAGTGTTTCATCTACTAATGCAAGCTGACATCTTTATACGTTGAATTACTTACCACTGTCCTTCTGAGACCGGTACAGTTGACGTTAGTCAATTTAACTAGCAAGATAAGCTAAGTTTTCTATTTAAATCAGGCTTATTTATTGAGGTAAAATCAATCATTCGTCATTTTCCAAGGAGATGAACTCCCTATGTTTTCATTCTGATTGTATCATGAATAAATTTGGCCTTTAAGAACATAAGAAATTTACAAACGAGAGGGGGCCATTCGGCCCATCAAGCTAGTTTCTGAAATTAATTCGCCATTTAGCTTGTGTGGTTTGTTATTAGGCCAAAGTTAAGTTAATAGAAGTGTTATGAAGGCAGTACCCCCCCAATTATGGAGGGGTAATTCGCACTCTGCTGCTCAGCCATGTACAACAGTCAACATAAACTGCTTCACCACAGAAAATCCCCACCTGCTCAATGTGGATGATACAATATAAATTTCAGAAAATGTACACTTTGTAATGTTCTGTATGTTTCATGTTAACATTTTGCCCCTGAAGTAAAGAAAGCACTAACTGATAATTACTACAGCCTGCTCAAGGGTGTGTACTAATGCTGTATGTCAGTGTTTCCTAATCCAGTCTTCTGAGACCCACAGACAGGTAGGTAGGCAGGAGGGAGCAAAAATGTTGACTGCCTGGTAGGGAGCTGAATGGGAGCAAAAACATGGACCGACTGTGGGTCCCCAAGGACCGGATTGGGAAACACTATACCATAACGCAAGGATTAGGCCACTTTAAGTAGATCCTGTGGGCTGTCATGGTTTAATGTAGTAGGGGTTCTCAACCCCAGCGCACAGACTGGTACAGGTCTCTGCCCAGTTTTCCAGAGGGGTTGGTTATTTTCCAAAAATAAATCATACATTTTTTTTTACAACCCCTCATGTTTGTACATTTTGTTCGCATTTGAAAAAAATGAAAACAATTAAATTATGAATCTGTCAAGTGATCTGCTGGTCCCCCCCACCACAGCCATTTCACTGGCACCTGAAATATCTGTACGACGTAAACCAGTCTGGAGACATCAAAAGTTTGGGGACCCCTAGTGTAACATACTGACACTATCCTTTTCTGCTTGAACGTAACAGTGTTTTACAATGATTAAGTGCGATAGCTCAATTCCAAACCTTAAATATCTCCAATCAACTGCTTATCCAATAGCAGGTAGCGAGGCGGTGGGAATGCAGTGTTGGCGGTGTGATAACTGACCATCCTCATACTCCAGCACCTCATTGTAGATTGGGGGAGCCATCGCGATGGCCTGGCCAGGGAAGTAAGGGTTGTAGTAGAGCCCCTCCCTCACAGAAACTCCCGCAGGGGGGTCGCAGTAGCCCGTCAGCAAGGAGAACACGTAGTCCTCCCCACCATGTCTTCAAGGAGAATGAAAGGAGAAAAACAATGCATGCATTAAAAATTAAAGATAAATGTAAACAAACAAACAAGCAGCAGGTGCAGGCGGTACCTAGCATTCACGATATAACTGAGGTCTGGGGGTAAGGCTCCACTGTTGGCTGCTCGGGCCGCCTCCGGATTAGCGTACGGCTTGGGGAAGTAGTCAGAGAGCTTTCCTGGTCGGGTGAACATCTCTCCACTCTCATCTGGGCCGTCCACCACCTCGATCTGAACGAAGCACAGAGAGGGCCTTAAACGCCGGTTCCTGAGCAGCTAAAAATAATCACACTAGAAACTCTGGGGATTTGTTTTCCATACCCAAAAAACTACAATGAATGGATGTTATAGTTAATAATCATGAGTGTGTAGCATTAGTCGCATCTGTATCAGAGTATAAGAGAGAAACTTCAGGCTGCCTTTGAATTAGCAGCAGTTTTAAATTCACTACCTAAGCGACTATTTTACAAAGCCAATAATTTTTTAAACGATTACACAGTTAACATGTCATGTGTTTTCTAAAGCTGCTTCTTATATAGGCTCGGTCGGTGTAGGTTTGTTTTGCTTAGTGTAAACGAGTTAATGAATCTCAACCTTTACATGACAGACAGTGGACACACCCTCAGGGCACGGCTGAAATGCAGCCAACTGCCCGCCGGGTTTCTGAGCTGCTTCTCTGCACAGATGTTTGGAGCTGCACTTGTCTCAGTCCAACTTTGTTGGATGAGGTTGATTAAACTCCACTGGGGCAAGAGGGATATTTAGTTGTCCCTGCTGTACCTCCATCTTCATTACTGCTCACAAACAAGGCGAGACCCTGTTACCTCCTCAGCCAGAGCCTTGACTTCAGCCTCTGTGTGCGACACGCCCACAAGGTTACGGAAGGCCAGATACTCCATGCTGTGACAAGCAGCGCACACCTGCTTGTACACCTCGTACCCACGGCGAATGCTGAGGATGTGAACCGGAACAATTGTTAGTTTCCTTGTGTGGCTATTTATCCTTGTCATGACTAGACACTGCAGCATTCTGATCAAAACCAAATAAATATGTACAGATGCTCCTTGCTTTCCAGTGAGTCGACTTACAGTTTCTGACTTTACGATGCTGTGATACAGTGCACACACTCAGTAGTCAGCTTTTAATTTTCATCCATTCCGGGATACCGATATGCCGTACGATACTTTCCACTGATACTGGCAGCATCCATCCAGCTGCACTTACAGTCTTAGTAGCGACCGTGAGAATAAAACGTTTAATGTATTTAGCTAATTACAGTATTACTTTACTTATACAGTGACAGTAGTTGTGCATTTAATTATCAATTTCATATTCAACTTGTGATATTTTCCACTTACGATGGGTTCATCAGAACGCAACATTGGAAATCGAGGAGCACCTGTATTTTGCCAGCTTTGATTTACACCATTAAGTTTTGTATAACCTGTTTTATAATAAAAAAAATAAATGGCTATAATTAAGATCAGTAAAATCATCCATATGTATCAAAATTTTCTTAGAGATCACAAAAATGTCTTATTTTGGAAATTTGTAGCTGACTGAACTACTGTGTTGGAGTGACACTGGAAGCATTAACATTTATACAGTAAATAATAACAATGCATAATTCCAGTTTGCTGTGAGCTTTTCTTTGCTGGAGATCCCACAAAGCTGACTTCAGACTTAGCGAGAGGAGGGGCACCTGGCATGATCCAGAGACGACAGCATCCCGTTGTGACTCCATGGATACGAGGGTGGGTGCAGCTCCAGGTCGGAAGCCTTCACAGACTGATGTAAGGCCAAGGCGAGACCAGCACCCCCTGCTGTCAGCACACCCAGCGTGGACAGTGCCACCTTTTTACCCCGGGAAAGGCTTGCAAACGACATACTGGCCTGGAAGGATAAAGAAATTTTAGAAGGATCTGAGATACAGGCCACAGCTTCAAAGCAACGGTTAACCGTATCACAGACAGGATAATGGAATCATGTCTATGGGAAATATCTACACTTAATACATATGCAGTTCTAAAGGTCGTCAGTCCACACACTGGGATACATCAGGGTGACCCTTCAGAACGTCACAGTTCAAGCAGCTCTGCCGGCTAAACATACAGCCTGCATGGCCCAGTCTCTGTCAGAGATACACAACCACCTATTCCTTTGGTCTCACTCTATTAAACTAATAAGATGTGATCGCCAGGTCTCTTCCATCTCACCCCATTAACTGATTTATTTATTCTTCAGGCACAGAATAACCTGAAACAGTTGTTTTGGAGGTTAAATATAAAAAGGTACACGGAAGAATAACATGAGTCAATGAGTTTTGGATGAGGCACCTACTCACACCATCTTATAAGAATAAATAAGAAAAAAAGAGACACCATTCATTGAATGTTATTTGTATGGCCTGTGAAGTTAGTTTTGCTGTACAAATAAGCTGATATTACAAAGTCGTCAGCAACTTTGTATCTATGGAAAGTGGTTGTCTAATGAGCTGTCCGGGACACCGCGACTGAGTGCTTCTAATTACAGATGTAAGCACACGAATACCACGCCGATTTGCTGGACGACCCAGATTTAATGCCTTTGTACAAGCCTGCAGTCCATAAGCTGACAATGGACAGCAAATTCACGATCATTGGCTCACAAATATTTAGTGAAAGAAATATGAAAAGCCAGCGTTTCTGCCTAAACGGACGAGCTATTATGTCACCTTTGCCTCTGCATGAGCTGCTGAACGTGATCACGATACGTACAAAATCATCGGTAAGACTTTTTGTGTGAAATAACTCAACAAAAAACATCACGCAAATAACGTGATTAAAAAGAAGCTGTTATTGACTCTCGCCACCTTTCCTGTTAAAGGACTCATTTATAAAAGTAACAGGACACGATTCCCTGAATGACCTTGCATTGCTCTTACACTATCCATCCAAAATCCTTAGGCAGTATTCCGCTTCCGTGCACTCCGCCACCATACGGAAAACAGCGCATGCAATGCACACGACGCTGTACGCAAAAACAGCCTTTACCCTGGGAGTGTGAACAGATTTCGGAGCGTTCAGTAAGGTTCTGCCGCTCCCGGTCACCACCACCCGAAGCGCCGCCATCTTCTCGTTCGTGAAGGTAACAGGACTTCCGGTGGTGATTTGCCCACCTCCATCGGTCAAACGTTAAAACTTTTTTTTTTTTTTATTAAATAATAAAACCCAAAGAACATATTACAAGACTAAACTATGTACGATGTCCCTGTTTTGTGGAAATTAAATTAATTTTGAAATAAAACAGCTCTAAAATTTTTCTAAAAATGTTTTTTTCTCTATTGCCACCTACTGCCTGGAGGATTTACTGCAGCACATTGGTGACACTATTATAAAGGTTAGAATGCTGCAGTAAAAATAGACACGTCAATGGCATAAAAGCCTCACACGCACACACACAAACGAATATAGATAACGAATACAGTGGTACCTCGGTTCTCGAACTCACTAGAACTCGAATTTCTTAAAAGTCGAACAAACCAATTTGACCTAGAACTCGATCTGAATATCAGAAGTCGAACCGTGAACGCTGACCTAATATAAATTGTACGCGCCAGGAAATGAGTCATACTACAATGCAATTATTACTTGAATGCCTTCTTCACAGGCTGGACGATTAACCAAATAAAGCAGCGCAACATTACAGTAACTAACAATAACTTACGTGTACTATTAGAGCATTTATGTAATTTATTTCAACTTTATTTTACCAGGTAAATTAACTGAAAACCAGTTCTCACTGCTTTACATGATATTCGGGAGAAATAGCAGATTAAAAAGCATCGGAACTGCCGGGGATACAAACGTCATGCGTGTAACAACTCTTCAGCAAATAAGGGCAAAGGTGTGTCATCATGGAGGCGGTTCCAGTTTGTGCAGCCGGGTGAGAGGTCGCAATGCCTCTAACCGTAATGCATTGCATCAGAATCAGAATGCGTTGCTTTAAGCCAGCGCTGTAAGCAAGTCGAACGCACTCAATGACCGGACTGGGGAAACAAACTGAAACGCGGACTAATGCTGCATTCCATTTCGAAAATCGGATCCCAAGGCAAATGGAATGCAGCATTAATACAGAGGACTAATGACAACAACCAGAAACAGCTGATCATGGGGATCCCACACGAGGTTAACGAGGGGGCGTGGCACACGGAAGGAGCGGACGATCGGGGGCCGGGGCAGGACAGGGGTAATGTTGGGATAAGATCTTTATCGTTTTGGAAGCCATTAAGAAAACAATGCTCTTCTTGTTTTATCCTGTTAATTTTGTGTTTAAATGCTACAAGAAAAAAATAAAATAAAATAAAAAAACATATTCAGCTGTAATTTTGGGGGGCCGGGAATCAATGAATTGATTTTCCATTATTTCTTATGGGAAAAATTCAATCAGAACTCGAAATTTTTAGGATTCGATTCGGAGTCCGGAACAGATTAAGTTCGAGAACCGAGGTACCACTGTATAGAATTGTATGGTACTATATTTCGTTATCCTATTAGGTTATATGCCGCCTCCAAACAAGCTTTCTTCTTTTTTGGAGATAAAAGAATATAATCTGAAGTAATTGGTACATATAAGACCACCACAGCCAAAATATAAAGGAAAGACGTGCGTTTCCCTTTCTTTCCCAAAGGTGGCAGGCTAACCTTATTGGTGCCTCCTTTTCGAGGCAGATCATAGTTTTCTTCAGCCCTGCAAGCCTGTCCAACATAAGAGGCTGGAAATACAGATGGATAGATATATCGATATCTCAGAAATGAGCATATAACAATCACATTTCCGAAATGAACTGAGCACTTTATTATGAACACCTGTGCAGCTGCTTATTCAATAATCTTATCAGTCATGATCTAATCATATGCCAGCAGTACAATGCATAAAATCATGTGCAGCATCCTGTCATCCTCATAAGGAGCTTGTTATTGTTCACATCAAACACTAGAATGGGGAAAAATGTGATCTCAGTGACTTGGTGCCAGACATACTGGTTTTAGTATATCTTTAACTGCCTATCTACTGGGATTTTCACACAATAGTCTCTAGAGTGTACTCAGAATGGTGCGAACAGCAGTTCTGGGACAAAAACAGACTGATTCGAGCTGACGGAAAAACTGTACCGTAACTCAGATAACCACTCTTCACAACTGTGGTGAGCAGAAAAGCATATCGGAATGCACAACATGTTGAATCTTGAGACGGATGAGCTACAACAGCAGAAGATCATGTCGGGTTCCACTCCTGTCAGCCAAAAACAGAAAGCTGAGGCTGCAGTGGGCACAGGCTCACCAGAACTGGACAATGGAAGACTGGAAATGCATAGCTTGGTCTGATGAATCTTGATTCTGCTGAGGCACACAGATGGTAGGGTTTGAATTTGGCATCATCAGCCAGAATCCATGGACCCAACCTGCCTTGCGTCAACTGACCAGGCTGGTGGGTGAGGTACTGGAGTGGGGAATGTTTTCTTAGTACACTTTGGGCCCGTTAATACCAATCAATGGTCACTCCAATGCCACAGCCTGTTTGAGTGTCCCTTCAGCATCCCTTCATGGCCACAATTCAGCCATCTTCTAATGACTACGTCCCACATGAAAATCCACCATGTCACAAAGCAGAAGTTACCTCAAATTGGTCTCATGAATATGAAAATGAGTTCAATGTCCTTCACTGGCCTTCCTAGTCACTGGCTCTGGATCCAGCAGAACACCTTTGGGATGTGGTTGAACCGGAGATTTGCAGCATGGATCCATGCCACAAAAAACGGAGGCTTTTTTGAGAGTACAGGGACCCCCCACCCACCATTAGTAAACTGTTCCTAATAAAATGTGCAGTGAGTGTACATTTTAAACGTGGAAATTCAATAATGAAATATAACTGATGTTTTTTTTGGTTGCAGATGAGAAAGAAAAGTATCATCCTTAGGATGTGTATATATAATCATTTCAGTGTTAGAAATGTGGTTAATAAAGGCAAGCATTCACGGTCCTTATTAAGAGCTTGCATTAAATCTGTTGAAAATGGACCTAGTATGGCTTGCCTTAAATAGTTTGTTATGTAAATTATAGGGGGAATTAATTGTGTGTACTGTGCTAAATCAATTTGACATCTAGTGTTTCGTTAGTGCTATAAGACCTTTCCACAGGTGCAGAGATTTTTTACAATACATTGTCTCCCAAAGGACTGAAGTACAGCTGCGCTTCTTGTAGAAAGTTGAAATGTTGACAGATGAGGCAGCTTGTTGGATTACAGGGAAAAAAAGATGATGTGAGTCATAGGTAGAGTGAGTAGGAGTGGAAGGTTTTTGTTGTTGTTGTTGTTTTGGGAGCCATTCTAAATTTGAATGCCAACACGAGTTCTTAATTCCCTGGCGATTGTGCATCCATATATCTCCATTAAAGTTCCTGCTGAAAAAGCCTCATGAAACATATCTTTGAAACTCAGTCCCAAATCACAATGTAAATCACTACTGTGCAGCATGAGTTTTATGCAGAATGCAGTTTCTGGAGCAAAGGAGCATGTATGACAAAATAACATCAATAATACAATTGCAATGAGCCAAGTGTTCAGAACTGTCTGCAGTAGGGAAAGCCGCCTGGAACTGCCAAGCTTGGTCAACTAAGTTAATAGAAAAGATGTTCTTATTATTTGGGAAATTATGAGATGCATGACATTCGCCTCCAGGTGCATCAGAGGGGTATGGATACCTTGGCAGATTCAGAGGGGTCCAGCACTTGACAGGAGCCCTGGTATATGTGAGATAATATGTGAAATTGAGTGGGCGGGGATAAAGTCACATTTTGACAGGGGGCCCAAAATTTCTCGTATACCCCTGTTAATTGCTAATGTTTCTAATGTGTTTCTAATGAATCTCTGGTATTTTGTGATGGCTCCTGCGTTTCTGTCTGTCCCTTTCTGGGAGAGCAATCATGGATAGGTGCTGCATCCTGCTATTAACACTGTACTACCTTTGAACGTCATGTCTAGGAAGGGGTGTTTTAGTGCACGGGCTTAAGGACC